GGCCAGGCTGGATGAGGCTTTGAGCAACCTGGTCTAGTGGAAGGTGTCCCTGCTGCTGGCAGGGGGGTTGGAACTGGATGAGTTTTAATAAAGTCCCTTCCAACCCAAACCAGTCCATGATTCCCCATTTCACTTCCATCCAGCCCCGGGGAATGTCTCACCCCAGCTGCACGGGTTTGTCACCCCGAGATGAAGTTTCCAGCAGCTGTCAGTGAAGTTTGTTGCTCGGTTCAAAGGTCACCAACAGTGACACCTTACAGTGGTGTCACATAAAAAGCAGGGGGTGGTTTGATTTCTGACAGCCTGAGCTGCACGTGCCTGGATTTACAACAGCGACTGGCACCGCATGTGCCGAGAGGTGGGATCGTGCAGAGCCCCAGCGAGGAGGAGTCACCTGAGGGCAGCGAGTCCAGGCAGGGGCTGTTCTCTGCCATCTCCCTGCACACTGATCAGTTCTATTCTTCATTTTCTCAGGTGATGCCCCAAATCTGACTTGTTTAAATTCATACTTTGTGTTTTAAATGCATCAAATTCCAGATCAGGAAATGTACAGAGCTTAAAACTTTTCAAACTGTTCCTCAAAGCAGAAAAAAGCACTCAGGCTTAGAGCAGAGCTGTTTTCTAGTCTACCACCACATACAGTCCATCAGGGATTGCTCTGCTACTCCAGCACTCCCAGCCTGCCCCCAGGTCAGACAGGGAAACATCTCAGGAGGTTCCAAACAACCTTTGGGCACAGAGGGGAAGAAAACCCAACCCAGCTCCTCATTTCTCTTGTGAGGGATGAAGAGTCTGGAGTAAAAACCCTGGGAGGGAGATGGGTGTTCCTTGTTTCCACGCACCAAGGGGGGCTCAGTATTACAGCTCCCTAAAACTCCTGTGCTCTGCAGGGGAAGCAGATCTGGGAGACACCAATTCCTCTTTCCCCACACTCTGCAAAGTGTAAACAGACTGAAATAAACGTTGTCTCACACACCAGTGACTCTGAATTCCCATTCCAGCAGCTTCAGGGATTACTGCTCGTGGCTGGTGCAGAAGATGCTGCTCCTCACGCTCGTCCCCAACCACCTGAAGATGGGACACAGCCCCTGCTGCTGACTCACACCATCAGAGTGGGCACAGAAGAGTTGTGCCAAAGAAAAAGGAACTGGGAAAAGCCAGGTTGGTGTTCTCAGGCTCTGGGGCCTCTTGCCAATAAAAGCAGATGCTCCTGGAGTCATTTTCTGAACGCTGCAGTAAGAGCTGCCAACCTCCAGAGTGAGAATCGTTTCCAAAACACACCCCTCCAGCACAATAAAATGCAATCTATTTTATTGGTTAATTATATACAGGAGATTCTTGATATTCACAGTAACATGAGACAAGTTACCTCCACAAAACAGCAAGGGGGAAAAAAAAAACAAACCAAAAATGACAAGTCCATTGTAAACAAAACTAGAAATCCTGTTGGATTGGGTGGGATTGGCTCCAGACAAACCAAAAAGGCACTCGAAGAAAAACAACCAAAGCCAAGTGATGAACACAGCCCAGATATTCTGTGCACTTCCAAGGTGATTAATGCAGAGGCACAGCGTGTGCAGACAACAGATCAGGGGACAAAGACAGAGGCAGGACATCACATTCTGAGCACACTACACGTGTGTTAACGTGGAAATTTAATTCACTCAAGTCTTGTAATCACCAGAGTCCTCACCTCCCTCCAAACACTGTTCATGTGAGTTTAGTGTTAGCAGGACAATTTGAAATTTGAAAGGCTGGGACTGCACCCAAAGCAGCGAGTAGAAGCCAGGAGTGAGGGGATCTGGTTTTGCTCAGACTCTGGCAAAGCTTAAACAGCAACCTGGACCGAGAACACAGCAGCCAGTGGCGTTGGGTGGAGCAGAGGGAGGTGGCTGGGACACGGGGAGGTAGGTGGCTTCTCTGGATTATTGACATTGAACCTGAAGACAGCGTGGCCAAGCTGGCAGGGACAGAGAGAGCAGGGACATCCCTTTCTCAGGGAGAAAGTGAGCTCAGAAGCAGAGAGGACACAGCCCTCCATCTTCTTCTCTCCTCAACCAGCTTCCCTTGTGCCCCTCTCCCCACAGCCCAGCCTGGGCTCCCATTTCTAACTCAGGTACCACCCAGTGCTCAAACCATCCCCTCTTCCAGGCTGCTCAGGTGCTCTAAACACCTGGGAGACTTCTGCCCCAGGTCCTGCTCCTCAAGTTCCTGCTCCTGACTGCTAGGTCAGCCTCACTTCCCTCTGTGCACACTGGAGAAAGCTGTGTGCCCTCTCCTGTGTGAGCGTGGGCAGGAGATGACCCCTTGAAGGCAGAGGGACTCATCCTCAGAGGGGGAAAACAATTTCAAGGTGCTACATGTAGAATGAGGCAGAAAAACCAACAAGAGAATGGGGTTTGTATTGTAAAAGCCACAGCTCTTGCCTAATCTCAGAGTCATTCATCTCGGATCACTTCAATCAGAAAATTCAAGTCTGGTCACTTGAACACAAGGAAATGTGGCTACAAGGTGACAGGAAGAAGATGAGGCGAAGCAGAGGTGCTGATTTAGAGAAAGACACAGCAAGAGGTATATGAAGTAACTGGTGTCATCACACAAAGCCACTCGTGCCTGTACCCCACAACCTGACATCCCTGTAACAGCAACTCTCCCTTGTTCACCAGGAACGGAGCAGAGCCGGGCTGGTTTAACGTCGACTCTCAGCTCTTCCAGGGATCGAGCCCCTGCAGTGTAAAGATTTCAAAACATTAACAACCATCTCTAGCATTTAACTGCTTCCATGTTCTCTGACAAGCGCTGTGAGTTCCTCACAGCTCTCCCACAGGGATGGGAAGGGTCTGTTTGCTCTCACAGAGAGGCAGGATTGCTTAGAGGGCACTAAAGGTTTGTACCTGGATGGTAGATGCAGAGAGAGGGCATCAGTGTGTCCTTCTGCAGCCTGTGACAGACATGACTCCCTTCAAAAACCAGACTGGGGAAGAGCTTTTCCTACATCTCATCAGGAGGTGGATAGAGTTTTTTCATAAAAATACCTTTGCTTCTTTCACTCAAATATAAATTTGCTGCAGAAAAAAAGCTCTTTAGAAACCTAAACCTGCTTTTAACTCATCTCCTTTTATTCTTAACTCTGTCCTAGTAAAACCAGGACAATCCTATATTCACACTGCCCAAAGAAAACAAGATGTCCAAATAAATAACCTTGGCCTCAGCCCGGGATGATTGACTTTAGGTGATGCCATTCAAGATCCTGGTAGCAGCAGTGACAGATTTCCTGTTGCCTTTCCAAGAGGGTGGTGGGGGAAGGTGGGCTCCATGCTGATGTAGTAGCATCAGCACAGTGAGGAACCCAGATACATGGGGATGGGCCTCACCATGGGCTAAAGAAATGTAATTCCTCTTGACAAAGCTCAGCTTTCCTTGCACAGCTACTGCTGACAGTGTGACTACGAGCATCTTTGGAGGAAAAAAAAAATGCTACTGCGTGTGCCCAGGTATTTTCATCTCAAAAGGACTCCCTGTTCTCAAGGCACGTCCCAGACACCAGTCCCAGACTGAAAATAGTGTCTGTTTTTCAGTGCCCTGCTGAGAATCCCACCATCTTCCCTTCCAGCCAGTTACTGGCACAAAATTTGGGATCCCAGGGCAGAATGAAAACTCCAGCTGTGCACCATACTCTGCACAATGTTCCCTATAACAAGAAGCAGTTTAATAATGAATTGCTAAAGCAAAACTGCTCCCTAGAAAACCCAAAGCCTGTTGTGTTGTCCACCAGGCAGGCAGGACGCTGGTTTTACCTGTGTCACCCCCTGTTTGCCTGAGAAATGTGTTGAGCTCACAGCGCTGAACGGGAAGTTTTTTACAGCACTAAACACTTGTCCACCACTGGCACCGATTATCTCCTGCACCATCAAGCTAACACGGTCACAGCATGATTATGAGGACAAAGAGGAGTAATTTGGGTCAGCAATACTTTTTAATCAGCCCAAGCTGCTCCAAATTTCACCTGAATTTCACCAAAGGCTGCTGTATAGTCCTATCTTTTCTTTATTTTCTTCCCCAAATCTCTCCTCTACAGGAACACGGTTGTTTTACCTCCTTCATCTCAACCAAGGAATGCCCTCTGCAGAGATTTGAACCTTTAGTGTCATCAAATCATTATTTAGCTCTTGCTTCATTTACAGAACTAGTTTTAATAAAGCAAAAGTCTGGCTCTAGATCCACCCAGGTGCAATTCAACATGAAGTAAATGTGGGTTCAATGGTTTATTTAAAAATCTTTTTGCCCTGTAAAATACACCAATGGTGTCCTGCATCTACTCCATATATTTCCATGATTGGGAAGTGAAAGCAGCCAAATTCCAATGTTTATCACTTGAAGCTGTTGGATACATCAGAAAATTAACATCAGATTCTGATGGGCTTGGAGGACAGACTCACCTAGACCACCCTGAAGCACATGGGTCACATAGTTATGTCAAAGTTCTCCCTTGTCAGGACACACCTGAGCATGTCTGATGTGCAGCACCAAGTCTTCCTCAGAGGCTGAGTCCTTCTGCAACAGAAGGTGTCACTGGCCCCCAAAGCCACAATGCCAGGGAGATCTCCTCATCTTGGCATTATGGAAATTATTGAGGAAAAAATAATAATAAAATTAAAATTAAAACAGCCGTTTGCACACGTAGAGACTCCATTGGCAACTTTGATCTTCACCTACTGTTCATAAAACCCTCACAGATGAGCAGTTACAATTTAAAAATAAATTTGTTTTGTTTTGTTTTGTTTTTAAAGAATAATTTCTACATTTCTGTCAGCCAACTAATTTCAATCACTGCATAATCTAAAAATAAAGCAAATCCTAGCCAAGAATTGGCTACCACGGGGCCCTCAAGAGTCAGCCCTTGCTGCCAGCCTTGCAGCAAGGGGAGCAGCATACCCCAGCTCCTCACATCCCTACACTCCAGCTAGGAACTTGTGGTGAACTCCAGTTGATTTTCTTTAGATTGTTTCTCTTTCAGCTTAGGAATGATCCAGTCCTTGGTGATGGCTGCACTTCCAAGAGAGCAGTGGGGGTGGAAAGGCTTCTGGGCAGCATCCAGTGTTAATGGCAGTGCTCTGTGATATCCACAACAACTGCCTTTTTCCAGCTGAAGAAGAAATAGCCCGTCCCTGCCCCTGCTGCCACTGCTATGCAGAGGTATCCGTTGTACGTCATGAAGATCAGCATGAGGAAGTAACTGACCACGACTTGAATGATGTGCAGGACAGTCTGCAGGAGGTGAGGGAAGCTCAGCATCTGCTGTCTGAGAACACAAAACCCAAAGAACAGTCAGGATCTGTGAGACACAGATGGGAAAATGCACATCCCTAATGAGAAAACTCAGCTCTCGGGCTGACCGGAGGCCAAGGTGGGTATGAAATGGCAGAGAAGGTAACAAAGCAGGCTGGACACAGACTTCTGCATCTGTCTGTCACTTGTAAATGTGTTTTTCCCCAGAGAGCTGACTGGTAACAAAGAAAGTGTGGTACTTCCTGGGAGGACAAAGCTTCTAGCTGGAGAAACAGACTTCTACAAGCTTATTTTACCTGCACATTCAATAAGCAGAATGGCTTCTTTTCTGAGTAGAAGCTTTGACTACCTGTCAACAGAAGGATCCTAAGGATTTTCTGTCAGGGTTGTTGGCTATAACACCCAAATTCTGTTCCTGGGAACTTCAGGAACAAACTTCTGTTCATTACTGCTCTGAAAATGACTGATCTGACTCCTTACTGCCCTCCTCCTTTTGTCCTCCATCCTAAAGGGTGGCCAAGTGACTCAAGCAGTGTCCTCCAGTGTCCCAATCTGAAGTCAATATACTTTGCAGAGAGTAATACTGGCTGCGTAAAGTCTTTTCTGACCCAGTTTTCACCTCTTGTCAGCTGCTGAAGAAATTTTCTCTTAAGAATGAAGTGAAATTCTTACCCAACAGTTTTATGTGTCTCCATCAAGATGGTGCCATTGGGACCCGGCACTGGCATGGAGTTGTAGCGAATGCTGACTTGGGATTTACGGAGCAGACACTCTCGGGCAATTTTAAGACCTTCATAAAACATAGCCAGGAAGAAAACAGCCACAAAAGCACCAGCCATTTCTGACAAAAAGAGGGAAACATTATTGTATCTGTGCAACAAAAGCTGTTTGCTTCAAAACAAGTCAAGAGAAGATGATTCAAGCGTCGGATTCAACAAGCGCATGGCAGCGCAGAGGCTGTGGCTGGGCACTGTGTGCACACAGGTACAGATGGGAAATGTGAATTTAATTGACAGGCTAATTGGGATTTCACCCACAAAGTGAAACCAGCAATCACTTTTGCTAATAAGACCAGTCAAATTCTCAAACTATACAAACATCTCCCTTTTTCTTTCACCCCACAGATGCCATTTAAAACAGACCCAGCGCAGTACGCCTGCATATTTTTTTTGGCATAAATAGCAAGACAATTCCTGAAACATTCATCAATTGCAACAACTTTTTTGTTTGGACTGGACAAGAGAGTTTTACTAACCTCCAGGAGTATTGATTATAAGTCCAGAAAACAGCAATGGCACATTCTCATAGCTGAAGTGGAAAGTCATTGCCTGCCCAAAACATAAAGAATATCAAGATGAGCCTGAACAAGCTCATCCTGAGATGGAGCTCACAACAAGGTTTAAGCAAAGGGGTTTTTTTGTACTATGACAAGAACTTAGATCATTTCAGTTGGCTGCCAGATAGACTTGAAGAAACTCTTTGGTACATCTGAGTGTAACACACACAAGCAAGACATGGCTAAAGATGCCCCTGGGTTCCAATTCTAGTGGGCAGCTCTTTTAAGTGGCACTGTCCCTCACAGTATTTGCTACAGAAAAGTGCCTTCTCCTTGCTTTTGGAGCTCCTTTTCTCCTCAACATCACAAGTAGTCAGGGATTGGGAATGTCTCTGTGGAGCTCATCTTGCTCTCTCATGACTACTCAGGGGCTGGGGGTACAGGGCACTTCCTTCTCCCCACCTTGACCTCATAGGGATAAGGGCTTGGACAGCTGAATCCTCTGGTCCCGTCCTGCACCGTGCCAGCAGCCTGTTGTCTCCCTACAGAACCTCCTCATCACTGATGGGAAACAGAGACCTAAATACAGGTACAACAAGGAGCTGTAGCACAGCAAGCAGGACCACAGCTTCTCTGGATGAAAATAAGGGTTCCTGAACCTACTGTGGGAAGGGGAGAGAGACATCAGTGATCTGCCAGCCTGCTGGAGTTCATTTAATCTTCCCAAGCAGGTAAATACGTTGCAGTTTAGTGAGTCTTGACCACAGCTGCACACAGTGTTCTCACATGTAAAGTACTCAGGAAGCTCAAGGAACTTCTCTTTGAAGTTTCTCTTTCTCATTGCTTAATTAGGGTTATTTGCTGAAGATCAGAATTATGATTAATTTCAGCATCCATAAGAATCAGCAGACATTCATTACCCCCAGAGCGGAAATTATAAAATATAAATATAAAACATCTTTTAGAGAGTACTTCCATTTCTTTAATGAATTTAACTTTTTTTTTTTTACATTTAAAACAAAAACCACACAACCCAGAGAGCATTACAGCCTAGTTCCACAAACCACAGCTGAAACAGAGCCTGTTACTTGGTGCAAGTGAGGAATGGGAACAGACATACACTAAAATACGTACAGTCTAAGATGCTCTACCTATTCACTTCCTTCCCTGCCAGTTTTATGTGAAATGTTAATTCAAAATCTTGTTTGAATTAATCAGTTTTCAGTTGCAGGGTAAGGCAGGGTCCTGTAACTATTCACTGAAGATAAAAGCACTTGATACTTGTAGAGAAATGGCATTTATATGGAAAATAACGGATCAGAGAACGCCAATACCTCGTTGTTGGATGGTATGAAGAGCTTCACAAGGATTTCAGTGTCAGTGCTGGGCTGCAAGTTCCACCAGCACTACTGGGCTTTGTACTGGGCCATGTTCACAAAGGGGAAAGCTGCTCTAGTCCTCTCTTCTGCTGCTAGGATACTGTTTGCAGTATAAAGTAGAAGCAATGATTCTTGATTCCTTCTGCAGGGGCACGTGGCTGGCAGGCAAATTTTAACCAAAGGCTTGCAGAATATACTCCTGAGTATGTTCTCATTTGAAATGGAAATGAATGTTTTCAAAGTTTAACCATAAAGAGTCACGTTTTAATAATCTAAAACTCACTCCAAAAGTATTTAGGAAAGGGAGAAAAAGCTGAAAAAGCCCCTAGAATTGGCTACACACAATAAAACATGAATTCTACAGTCATCTCCATGGAAACTCTGGCCAGGATCCCTGCAAAGCTTTGGTGATGCCAGCATGCACAAGTCTGAACTCGTTTAAATCAAAGTTAGCTAGAGCAGCAGGATTCAGGACCAACACAGCCTTCATACCAACATGGCAAAGAGTCCTGGTAGCACCTCACCCCCCAAACCCAGTGCACACTCAAAGTTCAGGAGGAAAAGGCCGCAGAGGTTGGTTGCCTGCAGGTCAGCACAATCCACTGGAGTAGTGCACAATCCTCTCGGTGCCAGTTAAGGCTTTTGCCAACACTAACAGCCCTGGAGAACTCCATCCATCTCCGTTTCTTGCAGGAAAATGCTTACTTTGCATTTCTGCCTTTAGTTGGATAAAGAGCAGACACCAGGCTGGCTGCTAGAAAGGTTTTTGCAAGAAAAGATCATTTTACCTATGGACCTCCAGTCCGTGTTGCAGATCATCTCTGCCACTCCTTCACCCCAGAAGAGCCACAGTGGGGGTCTGTGTTTTAACTGGATTGATTCACATCTTCCCAACCTAAGTTTAATTTCTGATTCTCAAGAGCAGAGTCTTTAAGATGACAAGTTACTCTGAACCACAGACAAGGAAAAGCTCTCTGGCTAATTATGACTTTTCTACTTACCATCATCATCATGTCAGATCCATGGCCATGTCCTGGGGCTGCTGTCGAGTGATGATGTTCAGGAGGATGCATGGTTGGTAACATGGAGCTGTTCATGAGGTGATCGTGAGACATCTTTACAAGAGAGAGATTCAAAAAGGCACGTAGAAAAGAAGGACCCTGAAAAACAAAGGGAAAAGAAATAAGAAGCAGCACTTTTTCTAAACAGAAGATGGCTTCTCTGCTGCTACTGCAAGAGAAAACACTTCAAGCCACTGAGAACTCCTGCCTCTGGATTAAACTTCTGGAGCATCCTCATGGTTCTGCACTCTGACTACAGAGAACACACAGCAAAGAGAGCAGGACAATTTAAAGGAGGTGTGTCCCTCTGACCTTTACATCATCGTATTGCTGCACCATCCTAAACATTCTTGCCAGAAAGGCAGCCTAATCTGATTGAGGTAGCACACGGGGGACAAGTGCTCAGCATAAAGGGACATTTCTTATCTGTAAGAGGAAAAAAACCCAAGTGTCTTCTCAATTGCAGTCATGCAAGAGGCAAAAACATCTCAAGCCCCATTTTAAATTGCATATACTAAAGGACCAGATGACAGTATTTCTCCTAATTGACAGTTATGCATTTTATTGGGAACATGTTTAACAAAGAAATTGCGTTAGGTGGCACAAGGCCTATTACCAGGCAAAGGTCTGCAACAGCCACGGGCAATCCAATTTCATTTCCATGAGCTTTCCATTGTCACATCTTCCCCTCTAATCACATTACACACAATGAGAGAAACACTCAAAAGGCTGCCAGAGTCCAAATCCCTCATCTGATTACAGCTAATCAGGTATGTCTGGACACACTTTGTTAAAACCATGGTTAGATGTGGACATGGCTTCTGCACTCTGCACCTCAGCACAACTTGGGATGGAACCAGAGACAATTTCTGGTGTGGGATGAAAAGTCACCAGGTAGAAACAGCAACAGGAGAGAAAACAAGCTGGGAATAGCAGTCAGTCCTGAAATGACAGCATCTGTCAGTGTGACAGAGCCAGGAAAAGGCAACCCTAGCACAATCCAGGTGAGATAACACTCAGGATAAGTAAGTACCAACACTGCTGTACCAGACCCTGTCTGGGGTACTGTGTACCCTGCCAGTCGAGTCCAGCACTCAAGTAAAACCAACTGAAATAAAAAACAAAGTACAAACAGTTTATCAAATTAACTTTTTTTTAAATTAAAAAAAAAAAAAAAAGAGAGAGAGAGAGAGGGAGAGTGGAGATGTGCTTCCTTCCAGATAAATCATCAGGAGTGTTTACAACTGGGGAAAAAAAAAGAAGAGCTTTTTAAGCTAAAAGACAATGTGGTGTTTGAAGAGATAGGTATGAATGTATTCAGATTGGAAAGAGGAAATGAAACTCTAGTAGAGTTTCAGCGCTAGCAAACAGAACCTCAAATGGCAAGCAGCTGATGGTGGAGTTGGTTCAGTTTGTGACAGTGACCTTGTGACACAACCGTGCAGGAATCACCAGTGGCCTAGGACACGACTGCCAGCACAGCCTTGCAGAGCATCAGTGACAGGGGGGGATCTCAAAAGGCTCTGGAGTTAAATTACAAAAAGCAATGAGAGAAGTCAAAGATTTGGGCAACGTAAGGAAAGTAAGTCAGCAGTGCTGGGGGAAAACTCGAGAGAAAGAATTAATACACCCTGCAAAGACTGAAATTAAATAATCATAGAATGGTTTGGGTTGGAAGGGACCTTCAAGCTCATCCAGTTCCAACCCCCTGCCAGCAGCAGGGACACTTTGCTGATATAAGTAAGCACCTGTATGCACCCAAGTCAGCTGGCACAAGCTACACCAGCAATACACAACTCAGGTACTTTTGGCATCTCTGTGCAGATGAAATTTGTAGCCAATCTCTTACTGCATTAGACGACTTCACAGTAACTCCCCTGGAAAGTTTCTTGCCATATAATCCAATGGCTAAAAGCAGAATGTATTCCCTGTCCGTATTGCTGCTGATATTTTTTAGCTCAGTCTGCCTCCAATTTGTGCTGAAATATTAAAACCAGCAAAACAGCTCAGAAAAATATTCAAGGGGAGGAAAAAAAAAGAGACAGACTAACAGAAGCAGCAGCTCACCTGCCACAGGAAAGCATTGCCAAAGGATACCTGCAGAACAAACTGATTTCCATACAGCGTGGCTTTGAAGGTTTATACTGGTTAAGAGATGAAATGTTCAAGCGCTTGAAGTCCCAAAACACAAACACTTGGGAAAGGAATCCTTTGCCAAGACACACAAACTTTAAATCATCCTTTGCAGCGGGGAAGGAAGAAGCACAGCCAAAGTGCTTTACACCACGGGATCAAAGGGAAGCGTGCCACAAGAGGAAAGAAGTAATGTAAGAACCTCCCCTCTCCCCCAGCCAAAATCTCATCTCCTCCCTCTGCTTTCAGCTGACTGGCACATTGCTTTCGCTTTGGATGCAACACTCACTAGTGACTACTCCCTAATTCAATTATTTATTCATTTTAGGATTTCATGCTCACACCAAATTCTGCAGGTTCCAATACGCTCCACAGAAGACTCAGCTCTTTACCAGATTAAAAACCTCAACCTTCATGGTTGAGTTGTGTCCAACTTCTCACTAATTTACCATCACTGGTCTTCAGAAAGAAAGAGACACGGGCTGTGTTCTCTAGATATTTACAAACAACAAGGTCAAGTAATGACAAGTGGCTGCAAGTTGGTGGGCAAGGTCTTGGTACAGGTTATAAAGAACGTGCTCGATGCTCACCTGTGAAGCTCCTTCTCACCCTGCTGTACTAGTGCTCCAAAGCCAAATCCAACCCCTCACTGCAGTTATCCAACACCAAGATATTTTATGAGATCCTGAAAAGGATGGGATATGAGGAAAGGCTGAGGGAGCTGGGGCTCTTTAGCTTGGAGAAGAGGAGACTGAGGGGTGACCTCATTAATGTTTATAAATATGTGAAGGGTGAATGTCAGGAGGATGGAGCCAGGCTCTTCTCAGTGATGCCCAATGGTAGGACAAGGGGCAATGGGTGTGAGCTGGAACACAGGAGGTTCTGCTTAAACTTGAGAAGAAACTTCTTTCCAGTGAGGGTGACAGAGCCCTGGGACAGGCTGCCCAGGGAGGGTGTGGAGTCTCCTTCTCTGGAGACATTCAAAACTCACCTGGACACCTTCCTGTGCAATCTCATTGAGGTTCCTGCTCTGGCAGGGGGTTGGACTGGATGATCTTTTGAGGTCCCTTCCAATCCCTGACATTCTGTGATTCTGTGATATTAAGTAGCGTAAGAGGAAATAATCTAGACTGAGCCACTCCAGCTGCCTTTTGTGTTACTAAAGGTAACCAACATGCAGACAAATTGCTGGTTAAAAATAAATCACTTCCAGTGGAACACCCCAGTCCAATCCGTCTGTGAGTTGTAACTCAGGAGGTCTCTACTTGTGCCTTGGGGGGAAAAAAATCAGTATCCAGGGCAGCAGCAGCAACAGGTTAATGGCTGTGTAATATTTCAAGCTGCATATCTCTGGTTTGCTTGCACAGACTCTTAAGAGACAAGCTGACCACCAAGGAGCTGTGTGTGTTAACAAGTCTGACAGCATACCTGGAAAAAAAAAATCCACACACAGATAAGTTTCTATTATTGCAAATTCTTTAAATAGGTTGAGTCTTGTACAAACCCAGCACTCCAGCAGCAGGTATTTTTGTCTGAATAGGTGACTTGATCTCGTGTGTACTGCCTGCTCCACATGTTTGCACAGAGACAAAGAGGCATTGGAGGGGATTCCTGAGCACGCCCTGGAGAGGGGAGCTGGGACAGACTGTGGCTGCAGCAGGCTCAGCTGTTTTGAAGTGTTTGCACACCTGAAGGACACAGACCTCATGGTGCACCTGCCTCCATGCTGCACTGTTACCAGGGATGCACACACACAAGGATTTTTTTCTTTGTACTCTGCAGTAGCCTACATCTTAAGAAAATAAATGGGGTGGGACAGGAGAGAGGAATGAGGAAATTCTCTCCAGAGCCTCCTCCATTTCACGACCCCTCAAATTCTGGAGGAAAATAGCAAGACTCAAAGCTACACATGGAACTTGTCTTACTTGAAGCCATCATCTCAGAGCAGGACCGACCCCAGCACATAGGTAGGCTCTGTTCAGATGGACATTTTTATCCCTCCGTTGCAATGTCACCTTTGGCAGCTCAGCAAACCAAACTGGTTCAGGAAGAAGCTCAGCCAGGAGCAGGATCTAACAACAACAAACCGTTAGCTCAAGTTCAGCATTAGGACTTAATTTCACCCTCCATCAACGTTTAACCAGCGCTGCCTCACCTCACACATACAAGGAAATCATGTTTGCAACTCCAGGGCACAGAGAAGAGGAGGAAAGATGGGTCTCTTATGCCAGTGCACAACAGAAACAACAGGGAAACAAGCTGGACCTGGTGAGATGCCAAACACAGAGCAGTCTTCTCAAGCAGGTCTCAGCCATCAAGTGTCTCCCATTATACATGAACTCCACCAGTTTCCCCACCCATCACTTCTGCCCTCTTAATGCAGAATCCTGCCACTCCACAGGAAATCACAGAGTTTTTTTCCTGTGGCAAACACCCAAGGGAGATAAACCTTTTAGTGCAGAAACACAGGACATGCAGAAACAGGACAGACTACAGGAAGGATCTGCAAAGCTCTCAGAAAGTACTTAACAAATCAGCTCAGTTTGAAACATGGTGTCCAAACAGAGCTTCCTTAAAGTCACACTGAAAAGGAATGAAACCTCTTTCCAAATCAGAAGTCTAACAGGATTAACAACGGAGCCCTCAATCAATGCCCATTAGAGCAGCAAACTCTTCTCTTCAAAACTCTGCTTCATCTTTCCGATGCCAGTTCTGAAAAAGCAAGAACTAAAACTAATTCCACGGGCTCTGCCCAAAAGGATCAGAGCCTTAAAAAACATCTCTTCAGTCTCCTTTACACTGGTTACTTGTTTAACAGAGATGGTGCTTGCTGCAGAGGCTCAGCACTGGCTCCTGCCTCCAGACTTGTGTCTCAACACAGCTGGGGTGATTCTTACCTAGGGTCTCTCCATCAATGCCTTTGGTAACAAGAACAGGGTCTGGAGGTCCCTCTCTTCTCCTCAAGAAG